ACGAATTTACCACACATTGACGCTGATGTATACATATTATTATTATTATTATTATCATTATTATTATTACTGACATAATGGAACTGTATGGAAATAAAATTGTTTTCACGTATTATTCTATTGGGAAATTTTTTTTCNATCTGGATAAAGCATAGATCGCAGTCAAAACATTTCTCACGCAGGGTAAATCGTGGATGAGATTTGACGTCAAAGAAATCTCAGTTGCCCCCGTGTATCAGTGCCCTATATTGTTCCTCGAAAGATACGAATGAAGCAAAAATCACTTTTATAGATATCATTATCTATCATATCGCTTGCATTCTTTTCTGGCGCCATTCAGATTAGTCACGTGACAATTTTATACTTGGCCTTCATATTATTATTATTATTATTATTATTACTGATATCATTATTTTTCTTAATATTGTTGGCTTTATAAGCTATATTATTATTATTATTATTATCATTATTATTATTACTGACATAATGGAACTGTATGGAAATAAAATTGTTTTCACGTATTATTCTATTGGGAAATTTTTTTTCGGGGGAACTAGATAACTTTTGTGACGTTTTACGTGTGGTACAACATAGAGATATCGCCTTTGGCCCACAAACAGTCGTTGCCATCTCGTAACTTTATATATCTGTAGCAGTTCGAGTGACCAACTCGAATAGATTGTGATAAAACTTGTTATCAGCTTGTGTTAAATCTTAATATGTATAATCAATGCTTTCCCTTAAAAAATAAAATAATTTAAAAAATCGATCAAATAATATATTGAATATCTCTCAAATGAGAAATGCCAAAATAATGAAGATTTATCTCTTTTAAAAAGAAGTTGAATAATAGTTTCATTCCTATAAATCAGTGTAAATTTCGATCTATATTTTCGATTTAAATGTTTGAAAATTAACAAACCAGCTGTTAAATATAAATTAAAACCTGTGTAAACCGGAATCGCAGGATATCGAATCATTTGTTCCGTTTTATACAGGTTTTACTGTAATTGAAAATCAATTCTTAAAAATTGATTACAAAAGCGTCAATAATTAGAGCCTGGTGTTAATTTTCAACGTGTCTATATAATTATTAAATCTAAAAAATATGTATTAATTCTTTCTAAATAGAAATTACTACTTATTTCTGGATATTTAAAATGATTTCAAGTATTAAATCATAGAAACTTATAAAATGGAGAAAAAGTGAACTTCTATTATGTATTATATACGCGAGAGAGCATATATTAAATAATACATTTAATTGGGAATTTTGTCAATAAAAGAATCAATAAAACTGTCAAATTTAACTCGTTTTTATAATTTTTAGTTAAGAATATGAAGTAAAAATGATTTTTCATCATCTATAAAATAATTTTGACACATATTTTTAAAAATTTCCTTTCAGTTGAACTTAATTCGAGATTAATTATACAAAATAAATTTCTTGAAAAGTATTATTTAAAATCATTTAAAATCCGAATTTTCCTTTAATAATTGGATTAAATAATCGAAAATTTTTGACAGTTCAAGAATATTTTTCTTTATAAACTTAATTATATTTCTTCATCTTTCTCCTATTTATAGGATTAGAAACATTTATGGTAAGACTTCGAATAATGTATTGTAATATCAGTGTTTCTAAATTGGAGAAAAAATTGATCACTTATAGATTAAAAAAAAAAAAAAAAAAAAATTTTTTTTTTTTTTTTATTTTTTTTTTTT